TGAGTAAGACCCCCTGAACACTCAAACTGCAGTTTATACTCCGTAGATGATGACATCATTGCAAAGCAGTGAATCCATGGATAGGGTAGCACAGTGCTTGGGCAGCTGACGGAATAAAATGTTAGATATTAAAAGCAGGCTCCCGTTAGCCAGCAGCATAGCTATGAGAATCCACTAGTGAACCGTAAAATGCAGAGGGACAGAATGGTAGCCGGGTGGGCGGCAAACAGGTTGAGAAGCGTAACAGGCTGCGGTCAAAGAGGGACAAGCAACGTCCCTTTAAGCGCTTCTTAGAAAATGGTTACAGGCGAGAGCCTCAGCAGTGAGTGTTGTGAGTCTCCCTCTGCTCCCTTTGCTGTTAATTCACACGTTTCCCTCTAGTGCAAAGAAGGGGGATTCCCGCAAGAGCTGTGGCTTGGAGTCAGCGCTGATGCGGTCTCCGTCTACAAGCGTGGGGAAGGCAGGCCTCTGGAGGTGTTTCAGTACGAACATATCCTGTCGTTCGGCGCGCCGCTGGCCAACACCTACAAGATCGTGGTGGATGAGAGAGAACTGCTCTTCGAAACCAGTGAGGTAAGAGCGAGAGGGAGTTTTGTGACTGCGGTCTCCTGTGCTGAGAAGCAGGCTACTGAGTAGTTCAAGCAATTGTCGCAACGGTTAGATTTATTGAAGACCCTTGTAAGGCTGAAGGGAAGACGGCGTGAGATGGATAGAGATGCTGAGTGTTTCTGGTTAACTGCAAAAGGGCTTTGTTGAGAGCTCGACGGTTCTGTGTCGTTCTCCTCGAAAGAAATTCGTTCACGTGCTGTTGCCTTCCTGAGGACTTTGCTCTCTATTCTCTTTTGGCAGGTAGTTGACATTGCGAAGCTGATGAAAGCTTACATCAGCATGATCGTGAAAAAACGCTACAGCACCTCCCGATCAGTGAGTAGTCATGGAAGTCAGGGCAGCTCCAGGTGAAAACAAAACCGGTTCTACCCTGCCCTGAATAGAACATGCCGCTGCTTGGCCCCCAGACGACCTGATGATACCCATCGTGTCTGCTGACGAGATAATCAGGAACCACAGAGTTTCCATGGAAAACATCTTCAAACCTTGTTTTAGAAAGACTGCAGGGTGGGGAGGGGAAAATCAGCTGAAATAGTCACATACTGGAACTGCTGGCTCATTCAAAACTTTCCAAAGCATTATTATCTTCAGTTGATGTCACAGATGCCTTACAGCTTGACCCGCTGCAATGCAAGCAGTAATAAGTGCCTTACAATATTAAACCCAACTTGTATTGACCTAAAATTGCTGATCAAAGTCAAGAATAATTTTTTTTGGTCCTTTCAGAACACTGAAAACAAAGTTCTCTTCATCCATTCTGCACTAACCTACTGGCCTGTACACATGTGGGAAGGGGGAGGGAAGAAGAGCAAGGTATTTTTTTTTTTTTTTGGAGAGCTGCTGGCAGCCTTCTTGATGGACACCAACATTTTGTTTCCCCTTGCTTCCGCGGATGTGCACATCGTGCATAGGCGTATTTGAGCTCTCAGTAAAATTTTACTAATTTTATTCTGTATACAAGTCTTTTGAAGCAAAGGGAATAAGTATGTGCAATGGTGTAAACAGTCTTTCTGTACATTTTAATAGATCAGAGTTCTAGTTGTTACAATTGTATGGTTACTTTATAAGCGGTCCTATTAACAAGTAAATGCCAAAATTTTCATACATGGATTTTACTATTGCAAATATGTATTGCCATCTAAGTAGCACAGGTCTGCATTCTGTATCTGCTGTATTATAAAGAGAGATGTAGCTGAGAATATTTATAGACTACCCTAATATGGAAAGACAGTTATCAGTTCAGTACTCCATAATATCATCTTAAGCGTTTATGATGAAATTTTTCTTTTAAAGACGTCACCCTCTTAGAACTCTGGCTGGACTCTCCAACCCAGACTGACTGCCAAAGGTCAGAGCCCTTCAGCGTCGTCTGGAGAACGTGAAGTTACACGATGCAACTTCTTCGATGCAGAATTCTCAATGGTTGCCTGACGAAGGTTCTTGACAATACCCTGTAAATAAATTGGGGAATGTCAGCTAATCATAAGCTGATTTTGGACTTTTATTTTTGTACAGAAATACTGTAATATAAGGCAAAACTTTGATGAAAGGTATCTTTTTGTCCACAGCAGAAGAAAGAAACCTGAAAAACCTTACTGTTATTAAAAACCTCCGCCTTTAGGGAATCATGCATACGTACTGGGGAAAAAAAAAAAAGTCCAGCAATAAAGAAAATATATGTGATGTGCTCTGTTTCCACTTCATACTGAGTTAGACCTGCAGCAAAGCCGTAATTTTGTCTGTCTTCTCAGGAGCCGAGGCAGGAACACGGCGTAGGCTGGATCTGTGCTTTCGCTTGGAAAGGTGCGCATCCTTTGTGTTGTACGGGGGCAGGTTTCCCTCTGCGAGCACAACCGCCTCCTTGACGGCGTGATAGGTGTCGGTTACACCGGCAGGATGGAGGGGAGGGACTGCTGAGCACTTCCACTCCGCAAGGAACTTGCAAGTAAAGTTTTTGCCGTTTGTGTAGCCCTGGCGCGAGATGGCTCGTTGTCGCCAGCCAAGGCACAGGTAGTGCAGGGTGCGCTGCCCCTGTAAGCGTATGTAGCTGTTACAGACTACAGGGCTTGCTCTGGGAAATCCTCCACCCTCCTCCAACTCCTCACTCCCGAAAGAGTCGCTAAATTACACCACTAATCTCATGTCTCCACCCTCCCAGCGGTGGTGAACTAAGGGAGACAAGAAAAACGAGGCAGCTCAAACTCCAGGGTGTAGGCCTGCATGCACAGAGGGTCTGAGACTTACATTCCTGATTTTTTCCACATGCAAGTTGTTTAGAAAGAACCTAGCTGCTCTTAGCAAAGCATCCCTGGAATGACACAATTCATACAGTTCAGGAAGAAAGTTCAGCTTTGTCTACGTGCTGTTGGCAAACGTGGTCAGAGGAGCCCCTCGCATCGTCATCAATTGGTCAAAAAACCAGCACCATAGAAGGTGACAGTCTTGTTGAGTGTCACGTCCTTGAGAAGCTGACGCCACTTCACCAGTCCCAATTCATTTACCTCCCAACTGACCTCTGGATGCTATAAACCCCTAGGAGGGCTGTTTGCCTCTAGCCAGTGCCCAGAAGTGGCTGTCGATGCATCGAGGAGCTTCATTCATGCCAGCTGGCCGTGCGAGTCTGTCTTTAACTACTGCTGTTGAGGCAAATGACAGCTTTCATAACTGTTGATACTCTCCAGAAAAAAAATGCACAGTTTATCAACATAAATACGGTGTAATAGACCTGGGTTTGGAGCAAGAACAGTGTTCCTGAAATTATAAAATACATAGAAAACGATTGCTGTCAGTGAGACCCGCCGCCCCAGGCAGTCACGCTGACCTTGAAGAACCCCCTGGGGTGGGCCACAACGGCTGAGCCTGCTCAAATACAACTACAGGCAGCCGGGACCCCACCCCGGGCTGCAAGACCCCCGGCTGGGCAGAAACTGCAGTCCGGCTCAGGCTCCCATCCGGCCTCCTGACACACGTGTACCTCTGTGTGTCACTCCATCCGGCGCAGGAGCGCAGCTACAACGGTGCTGCGGCGCAACCGTGTTTACACACGCGTGCACGCCCACGAGGTGGGCGAGCCCGAAGGCAGGCATACGCAACTGGTTCACGGCACCTTCCATCTCCGAGTAATTAATACCAGCTCCGCTCACATCGCAGGCTAGTCGCCTAATAAAGTTTCATCCCGGAGGAAGCCACTGTGTCCCGCAACAGACACAAGGCCTTCAGTGCGACACACCAAAACCAGGCCGTGCCACAGCGGCTAAGGGCAGCGAGCAGAAGAGGGCAGCAGCGGCCAACGAAGCGAGCTACGCAGAACCTCCTCCCACCGTAGTGTGGGCCTCTAACCTGGCCTAGCGAAAGACAACACTCTGGGGTAGGACAGGGAGGATGGAGGCCTCTCCTCCTTCCTTCTGCCCACCAGACGTGGGATTAGGACAAGCGACGGCAACTCGGGCTGCTTCTCGGATGTGCCAACGCCCCCATCCATCTCTAGCTTTGGGCAATATAAAGTAAAAAAGCCACATGAAAGTGTAAGAGGGGCTGGAGAAAGGGACTCCAGTAAAGCAAAGAGCGAAACTTCAAAAGCCAGAGTTGCAGGTTTCTAACTGAACAGTCACTCCTTTTTATTGACACTTTGGGGGGGAGGGGCAGAGGGAGGCTGCTTTGTTTAATTCAGTCTAATTTCCCACATTACCCTGTTCAGAAGGCTGTTCCTGACCTTCTCTATAGACATTTTTCCAAAATTTCTTGTCTAAACTTGACTCATGACTAGATTATTTGTTCATGTTCCAGCACCATCTTTTGATATTCATAATTTTTCCTCCATGTATAATTTTGTGCCCGCTCCTTCCTCCCAATAGATTTTCTAAGTAGTGGCTGCATCATCTTCCAGCCTTCACTTTGCTCTGCTCAATCCAAAACTTTTTTTTTAAATACACTTTTCTCAAAAGCGAGTTATCCGTTCTCCCTCATCAGCCTCATAGCACCTTTCAGCGTTGTGGTTTAACCCCAGCTGACGATTAAGCACCACACAGCCGCTCACTCACCTTCCCTCCACCCCCAGTGGGATGGGGAAGAGGACTGGAAGAGTTAAAAGTGAGAAAAACCACGTGGGTTGAGATAAGAACACTTTAATAATTAATATAAGTAACAGTGATGATAATACACAAAACAAGTGATGCACAGTGCAGTTGTTCATCCCCTGCCAACCAGTGCCCAGCCATTTCCCGAGCAGCGGCCCCCCCCCCCAGCCAGCTTTCCCCTAGTTTATACACTGAGTAGGCACCATACGGTACAGAACATCCCTTTGGCCAGTTTGGGTCAGCTGTCTCGGCTGTGCCCGCTCACAGCTTCTTGTGCACTCCCAGCCTTCCCAGCCAGCGGAGCGCGAGAAGCTGAAAAGTCCTTGACGCAGTGTAAGCACTCCTTAGCAACAACCAAACACCGGTGCGTTATCAACGTGATGCTCACGCTAAAATGCAGCACTACACCAGCGACTAGGAAGTCAACTTCACCCCAGCCGAAACCAGGACGAGCATCTATTACCTTTTAAGTTGTTTAAAAACAGAGGAGATGGGAAAGGTACTGTGCTAAACACCTTACTCCTGGTTTATGACAACACTACTAATACTCTCATCAACTAAAAGTACTTTACCAGTCTCTCACAATCTCACTAGTCCTGCTCATCGTGACTTCCCTTTAATTGCACATGGAGTTCAGACTGATAAAAGCAAAAGGAGGGGACAAAGGGCCAAATGTAATCAACTGACAAGATTTCAACTGATTTTCGAAACTAGTTGCTAAGTATGAGGCTTTTTGTACTCTGTTGTTACGTGTAGTTTCTGTTACTCCTATCCACAAGAGCATCCCATTCTTCCTTTATGATAGTTTTTGCTTCATCCACATCAAAACAATGTTTCAACAATCGTGTCGCTCATGAAAACATTCGAAAGAACCTCCAACCTGCCCCTGGTAACACAACTGTTAGCTTTAGTGATTTATATTTGTAAAGTCCCTTAAAAAAAAAAAAAAGAAGGGAAAAAATCCCCTTTTACCACCCTCCTCCCCATCATATTTTTGTAAGAATTCCTGTATTCTGTATCTTAAAAGAGCTATTTTCAAACTTTTTAGACTACTTCCTTTTTCACCCATAAGAGTTTATTTTTCCCTGCTGCCAGCCACCCCACACACACACAGCTCCTTGGCAGACCTGAGTCACGCTCCTGCTACTGACCAACCAACAGTAAGGTCATAAACATCCTCTCATTTGCCCGTGCCACTATTCAGAAACTGTAGGTGCCAAAAGTTACTTTATTTTGAAATCCCACCTTCAAGGTCTTTTTTCTCAGTTATCAGGA